AAATATCCACAAGTATTACATGAATAGCTACAAATTTCGTTAGAATATGTTGTCATGAAAATACTAACTGATGCTTTCTTTTCATCTAATGGTTGAACTGAACAAAAAGCATAACATGCAGCATTATGGAGGAAAAAACCTCTCAATACTAAATGGAGACAAAAAACCTTTTGAAAACGATTCTCGTGAAAACGTATTATGAAAGAACCAAGCGGATCAAATCAAGTGACGTTGCAAAAAGGATGTACTAGGGTGGTTAACACCCAAACCTACTACTGTTGGTTAGTTGCACGATTTTTCTATTTTATGTTGAGCAAATATTTATTTCTAGGGTCACGAGCGTTAAAAGGATTTCCGAGTGCACCACACATTAAAAATTTTTCTGGAAAATCTCATAAAATATTCTTCTCTTTTTGTTCTTCTTCATATCATCATCAATTGTTATTTTTAACATGACGATTTGTTATTATTTCTACAATTTGAAGAGCACTATTTATCAATGCCATTGAATATATGAAAGTACGTCATAAGTTTGTTGAATTTGTTGGCATTTTAGTAACTATTCTAAAATGATTGATGTACACAAAGTAAATGAAAAATATACACAGTGAATTTTAGGAGTACACAAAGATATGGCAATCACATGAATACTACTTTTTTTCGCTGGACCGATTTTTTTCAACGTTAAAAGATAACTAATCGTATTTAGTTGAAGACATTACCCTGAAAAATTAAACATTGTCCCTCATTCCCTGTAAATGTTATAAATCCCCCAAAAATTACAATTTTTAAAATCGGTATATTTCGTCATTTTAGCTTCGATGCGAAGCTGAGAAGGTATTAATTTTATCATGATGTGTTTATTTTTTTTTTTATTTTTTTTTTATTTTTTTGTGTCTGTCACTACTTTTTCTCAGCTCTCACTGGACCGATTTCTTTTAACAATACGTCAAAAGATCACAAATTGTATCTAGTTGAAGACATTACCCTTAAAAATTTAAAAATTTTCCCTCGTTCCCCGCAAATGGGGGAAATATCCAAAAAAATTACAAATTTAAAAATCGACAAATTTTGTCATTTTTTTCACTTTTTTTTCTTAAAACTTCCATAACTTTTTCAAAAATCAACAAATCAACATAATTTTTTTTTAAACTAAAACCTTAGATATTTTCCTTTTATTTGATATAATTTTTTTGAAAATTTAACACTTAACCTGCTCATGGGGGGGATTTTAAAATTGCAACTTTTTTACAAAAACTAACTTTTTCAACTTAATTTTTGAAAATGTTCCGGAAATACTGCGTCCTTTAAACATATATCAAATTAAAGCTTATTTTATGTACTACTAAATGAAAAAAAAAAATTTGTCCCGACGACCTATCTTCTATGCGCAAAAGGCTACCGTATTTAAAAATATGCTATTTTTTATTAAAATTCTAGGTTTTGTATTTTATTTTATTTTAAAATATTTTATTAGGGGAATAAACTGACTTTCATGAATATTATATAATTTCATTGACATAGAATAAAGTTCATAAGACATATGATATTATACTTATTAACATTTTTTACTTTTTTAAAGTCGAAAAAGTAATTTTTAAATTTGAGTTAGCTTAAATAGCCAATTTTATCATGCAACAAAAATCAACGAATAGTTGCCGAATGGGTAACACCTTGATCTTTAACGCCTAGGGTACGAGGTTCAAATCCGTTTGTGGCTTCTAAAATTTTGCATTTTTTTTTTGAGTTAGAATAGAATTTTCAAATCATTTGATATTTATCTCATTTAGATTCAATAATTTCAATAAATATAAAGGATCTTATCACTATAGTCTCCCCTCGTGAGAAGAAATTGATATTCATGTTAATATTATTTTACTATGTGGTTCTTTTTCTGGCTACGATTTATTTTGCCAACCCTCACTAGACCTACTTTTTTCAACGATACGTCAAATGATTCATTTAAGTTTATGATATTTAAGTTAATGATTAGTTTAAGTTATTACTCTTAAAAATCAAAAAAATATTCCTTATTCAAATAAAAAGTAGCTTAACTAGATTTGTCCATACAAACAATTAAAATCATTAATTTTTAATATTCTTAAATTATTTATTGTCGAATTAAATTTGATATGATAAAAGTATTCAACTACAAAAGTAAATAATTTTACTTTATAATTTATTAATTTTTTAACTCTATTTCTGTGTGCTACTACCAGTCTATAATATGCCAAATTTTTTAGTAATATTTTGCTATATAAATCATAAATTTAAAAAAAAAATGATTTTTAGTTTCACCTGAAGTTAACGATGGAGTTTTACAATTATAATTATATTTTTGATAATATGCTCAATTGAGTAAATCTTTTTAACTACTTTGGTTTGATTGGTTCATTTAATTAAAGTAAATTATTAAAATTAATTAAGTTCTGAATATTTCAATTGCAGAATTTTTTTAAACACCAAAAGTTATTAGGATATGATTACTATTCTTTCTATTTCAGTTATCTATTACGATAAAAATGTAAAAAAATCGAATTTTTCTGACAAATGTACTGTAATTAGTAATTATAAAATTTCCAGATTGCATATTAATCTTAAAAATTTCATTTTTTTCAATTTAATAATGTCAATTTCAAACTTGCAAGTTGAACTATAAGTTATGGTAACAAATTCATTTTTTAGCTTCGATGCGAAGCTGAGAAGGTATTTTTCATTAAAACTTTCACTTTAAAAGACAATAAAAAATAGGTTCAAAATGATTACCTTTAACATATTAAAAATCAAAATCAGTATTAATTTAATACAATTTTTTTTGTTCTTAATTATTTTTTTTTATATGTAAATACTTATTTTTTAATAATAAGTAATAATATTAAAACTTAGAAGTAATAGAAAAAGTTTAATTGCACATTTGAAAACATCACGAAAAGTTTATTTAGAAAAGTATATTTTTTTTCTGATGAAAGTTCCTTTTGTTTAGTGTATTTATTCATAAGTAACAAAATTTTTTTATTAAAAAGTATTGCATAAATTCCTTTAAATTTGTATACGCATTAAAAGTATATGAATATACAACTCCTTTTTATTTTTATAATATCTCCGTAAAAATTACAATATTATATTATTGAATACCACTTTCATACTCAATTTAATTACTGTAATTATTATGTATTCATATATTATAGTTATAAATCGGGGTAAAATTAAGGGAATAAGTGTTATTGTTGTTTTTGAAATAATCTACCAATTTCATTTTTTTCTATTTAATAATATTTATTTCAAACTTGCAAGTTGAGTTAAAAGTTATGGTAATAAATTCATTTTTTTTTTATTAAAACTTTCACTTTAAAGAACAAAAAGAAGTAGGTTCAAAATGATTACTTTTAACATATTAAAAATCAATAATAATTTGAAAATAATTAATTATAAAAATTATATAATATATAATTAAAATAATTACTAATCTGGATATAATTAAGGAAATAGGAGTTGATGTTGGGTTGGGTTGGTTACATTTTTAACTTTATAATGCTATAACTCATTGAAAAGTGTACGAATCAACACAATTTTTTTATGAGAAATAATATTTTTTAATAATCCCTTTTTCATTCGACATACTTTATCTTAATCAGGGTATTAATAAGAAACTAGCAGATAATGTAGCTTTTGTAATTATCCACCAATTTCTTAGAATTAAACACTATCTACTGATTTGCATCGAAGCGTTTCTTATGATAGTGATTTTAATCACTGTCAGATTAAATCTATACTGGACCCAACTATGCAACATCCCCACTATGCCGCGACCCCACTGTGCTGGGTTTTTTTTTAAACTTTTTTTTCTTAAAACTATCATAAATTTTTGAAAAATGAACGAACCAAAATAATGTTTCAGAAATACAGCGTCCTTAAACACATATTAATAAAAGCCTATGTTAGGTACTATAAATTAAAAAAAAATTGTCCCGACAATTTATCTTTTTTTTGAAAGTGGTTGCCGTAATTAAAAGAAATACCATTTTTATGTTAAAATTTTCGATATTTGATTTTATTTTTCAACTATTAATTGTTATATTTTTTTGAAAAAATGTATAGATCATTAAATTTTATGTATACCCGTATACCTGTATTCTTCGAATAAATTACATCATTGAATTATCAAGTATCTTACTATATTTAATTTCTATGATAAATATCTATTCATATATTATACTTGTAAATTATAAAACTTGTAATCAGGGTATAAATAAAGAAAGAGGAGTTCATTATACTTTTAGATAATCCGCCAATTTCTTAGATTTAACAACTATTTACAGATTTTCATCGAAATTTTTTTTATGATAGTGATTTTAATCACTGTCAGATATCATCTATATTTTCCCAATTGTTTACGTTCAAACTGTGCCGCGGCCCACTGCGCTATCTGATTTCTATTTAAATAAGTAAAATGTATGTTGTCTTTTGGTGGATACTTAGTGTTATGGGTTTAGCGAACCTATGTATTCGAGCTATGACGTAGGGAAATTGGAGCTTCCACCGCCCATAAAAATTTGTGATGCAATAGCTATTCCCATGACCTTAGCTGGTTGGGGATCTGGTCCTCCAGGTAGGGGGTTTGGCGACGGGCTAACAACTCATTGCAATAAAAAAACTATCACTAAGATAAAGTTATGGAAGTTTATAATAGTGTGCTTAAAAATACGATGAGGATTGTCATTGGGGACTTCGATGTAAAATAGGGAGAGAAACTTACTTTAGATTAAAAATCGGCCAACACAACGTTGACGTGCAAAGCAATTATAATGATCAGAAGCTTTTTCGCAACCTCAAGAAATATGACTATAAGTAACACTTTCATTCCTCATAAGAATATTCACAAATATATATATATATATATGAAAATTACCTGACAGACACATCTATAACCAATTGAACACACGCTCGTTGACAAAACATTAAGATCTATCATGTAAGGGTAATAGAATCACTCTTTACAGTGAACCAGAACAAAAATATGTTTTTATTATATTAAAATATTAATAATAATAAACAGTTTAACTTTTTTTTTTTAAATATAAATTTATTTTTAAAAAATTTAGTTTACATCTCTCTGACATATTCGACACCAATTAAATTAAAGGCATTTTCATAAACACATACTATTGCATTAATTAAATGAAGTCGAGCATACATAATACGTAATAAATTTGGTAATGGATCCTAAAAATGTCAATAAAATGAAATAAAATAAACTATAAAGGAAACTTATGAATACACATTATAATATTAAAAATTAGATAATTTTACATTATTAAAATAAATATAATATTAAAGTAATCATTGTTACAACTAAAATTATTTTACAACCCCCCCTAACACTCCCCTGGTTATCACTGAAAGTAACACACTAAATATAAAAACTAAAAAAACTTATAATACACAAAAAGCATACACTTTTACTATTAAAAATAAAATTAAGCAACACAAAAAATTAAATGAATATTGTAATATTTAAAAATAAGAGTATCATTAATTTAAAAAATAAACATTAATTACCAATAGGACATGATTTCTATGGTAGAACAAACTGACTGCAGAAGACATTTCTAACAAAAATTTACACAGTTTATGAATATTCACATTTCCTGAGAGCATATATTTAGATGACTCTTGAATAATTATTGGATAATTTGATAGGAAATTATGAACTAAAACCCATTCTTCCTGAAATGAAATATAAATATATTATAAATAGTTTCCCAGTCATTAATTTCAACTAACAGAATTGTATTTACTTAATATATTACTAACCTTTTTATGATTTTAAATATTTATACTATTTGAAATTATTCATATAATATTCAAGCATAAAAACAATATTTTAAACTTTCTTTTTTCATCTTGAAACACATTTTTATTTAAAAATATTTTATGCAAAATGTACAAATAAACAGGGTTTAAGAAAAATAATATAAATATAATATTTTTTTCATTTTATAATTGAATTAAATAACTGTTGGACTAATACAATTATTATTTCTTTTTAAGTTAAACACATAGTTTTTAATAAATGTCATTTTAAAAGCTATAAGTTATTTTGTCTTTTACTTCTTTAAACTATTTTTGTTAAGTAATTATTAAATCAATTTTAATGTTAATGAAACACAAAAAATAATTATTATAACTATTAATGTTTTTTTAGAAGTAGTGGTCGATATGGCTCAAAATATGTGGAAGGATGCCCTCAATTTTTGTTGATAATATGAATACACATTGAATAATATAAAGGGGGATGTATTATTTTAGAGATAATAAGTAGAGGTATGAAAAATATAAATAAAAAAAGTAGAGGGATGGGATCCCTCCATATCCCCCCCTTCACTTCGACCACTGTTTAGAAGGTAATTTCATAAAATTACAACAGATAACAAAATTAAATAATAAAATATAATATAATACGCTATATTTTACTGATGCTGGTTTTTTAGTTCTATTTAAATAAGTTATCATAAAAGAATGAAGTATCATAATTTTTTTAGTTGTATTTCATCTAAAATTGGTAAATCATTTTAGATTATAGAAAAGTATTTTATAAAATAACATTGATTTTTAATTTTTTAATTTGAATTATAAATTGCCATAAAATTTCTACATTTTCATTAACTAAATAATGAACCACATTATTAAAATCTACATACATAGGACTTTAAAACTTTAAAATCAACTGTTTTAAAATCTGGTAATGGATTATAATAATTTTCTGCAACTTTTTTTTCGAATGTTGTCCATATTTGATATAGTCTTGAATAATTATACATAATAAAAATTCCATCTGAAAATAGCATAAAATAAATAAAAAATAGTAACACATAAATTAAATATAATAGGCAACAAAACATAAACAACAATACAAGGATATCTGTGAAACAATCTACTCAACTATTCAAAAAACAAGGTTTTACATTCAAAAGTTGAAAAATGAATCGCAATAAAATCATTTACTGTATCCACACTGTCATTTGGTAAACTTTAATTTTTATTTTTCTATAACACAAGAATATTTTTTTAAAAATTTGTTTAAAAATAATTATTTGATAACATGTTTTGGACCAGTATTTCAGAAGTTACTAACATTTTTTAAATCTAGACAGAAGGAATGAGGCCAAGAAATATCTAGTGATAAAAATAATAGCAAGTACACCTAACCTACAGTCATTACTTTAAATTGTTAATAACTTCTGGAATACTGATCTAAAGGTTATCAATCAATTATATTCTTAATTATATTATTTTCTTCTTTATAAATTAGATATATGTATGCTTTTATTTAAAAAAAAAAGTTGATACCCCTAAAATGCATAAGAGATATACCAAAAAAATAGTAGATAAATCCAGATTTATATGTAACTGAAAAATACAAAAAAAAATTCTGAAAATAATTATTAATTTATGAATAATTGAGTAGTTCATCAGAAAATAAAAATAATAAATATTAAGATTTTTAAATAAAAGTTTATCAAAAATCAATGTCAATATTTTTATAAATATAATTTTACTACATGATTATATCAATAAATGAATGCTATCATATTATTATACTGGTACCTTTGATTGTTTTGTGTATGGTGTATAAAAAAAAAATTATACTGTAAATGATTTAAATATGAACATAAAAACTAGATCATATTTAACCATAACATATATTTAAGTGTAATCAGTCTAAACTCACTATCTTTATTAAGAATACCACAAGTAGTATTTATAACTTTATTGTGTCGTACACTGAGCATTTCATAAACAATAGATATGTTACAAAGTTTTGATATTATTTTATCTGGATATTCACCAGATTCAATTCGACTTGCAGACATTTTGGCAATGGCATCTTTTCTTAGTCTATAATGAAAATATATTTATTATAAAATCTCAATATCAACATAACAGATATATTTAATAGGCTTCAAAGTTTCATGAGATACCACATTTTTTTAACACATTTAAAAATATACCAAGTAACACACACATTCAATTTATGAAATTTAGATTTAAAATTTTCACTATTGTTTTACATATGTTTGTTTGCATATTTATCATTTGGGAGCTTCAATGGGTGTTTTATAATTTTTTTTTAGAATTTAAGTATTTAGTATTTAAGCTTTAAAATAAATATATTTATATCCTTCAGATTGATTATTTTTGTTTATAGATCAAATAAAAATACCTACACATGACTTAGAAAAATTTTTAAATGCAATATCTAATTAACAAATAGATTCAGCATCCATATATCTAAGAAATTATAAAAAAAAATTCTCAATTCAAAAGTGACTAAGGTGGAATTTTTCAAAATAAACATTAATTTAGATGACTAAGAACATAATTTTTAAGAACTACCATAGCACAACTAAAATTAAGTTTTTGATAGTTTTGATATTGTATTATTCCCTGATCCTAAGAATATTTTTAAAAAACAATATAAATAATTTTTTACAATTTATTAAGAGAAAGCTAAGCTCTTTCTATTTTTTTCTTAGTTGTTTCTATGAAGATTATCCAACAATTAAGATACTACTAAATTGTAGTAAAAATGTCCTAAGAATCAAAAACTTTTTTATATGTTTATTTTATATTTCTAATGAAAATGTTTATTTTATGAAAGTAATTTTAATTGTTCAGTTAATTTTTTTTTATATCTTATTGTTTACTTGTATTATGATTAGAAATACTTTTAATACTTAAATGATTTTTAAATAAATAATTGAATAATTTTAACTATTTAAATACATTTTTATTGATTTTAAGGTCATTAACATCCAAGCCTTAATTACTAATGATACTAACTGAATGTAATCATTTTCATTGTTATAAATAACATTTCCACATAGTATAACATTCATATTTTTTCTCTTCATATTTTTAGAGATTAACAATTTCTGCCCATTACTACCCATAATACAACCATTAACTTCAGCAAGCTTTTGAACCGAGCTTTTCAGCAATCTAATACGCATATTTGTTGTAAAATCTTTAGCTTCTTCGCAATCTAAAGTTAAGACCTGTGTAAATTAAATGTTTATTGATGAAAACATACTATAGTATTAAAAAATATGAACAAGTAATTTACAGTCCCTTCATAAGAATTATTAGACCCATAATTGGAACCTTTTGTTAATATTTCGTTAATTATGGAAGACATCCACAAATCTTTTTTCATCCATATCAAAATATGACCATGTGTATTTGAGCAACAATCAATAATACAAAATTGTTTCTTTATTTTCTCAGCAAGATCCATTAAATTCTACAAGATCAATCATAAAAATTGATGTTCTACTCAAATATTACATTTTTAAGAGTTCACTGTTTTAATTACTTGAGTTCCTGTGATATAAAATCGAATGTGACCATTTATATTTTGTTTAGTAGTTGGTAATTTTAAAGCTATTTTTTTGTCTGTATAAATGCTGACAAACGATGTTAATTTAGTTACAAAATCTTCTAAGACATACATATTATTTTTAATAATTTAAGTAAAATATTTAATTTTATTACCCAACATGAAAACGATTCTTTTTAGTTAATCTAAAATACACACAAGACAGAAAAACTGAATATTAATTATCATCATTAGTGAATTAAAATCTGTTATATTAAACTTGGAATTGTTTTTATGATAAGAAAAAGAGTATCTAAAGTATCACTAGATGTCGCTAATATTGTACTGAATACTAAAAATCAGTTCCGTTGCCGCTGTATTATATATGTAATAATTATTACACTACAATTATTTAAATGACCATATACTTTACACTAAAATGTATTTAAATAATGCATGAAAAAATAATTTAATAATATATCACATCAAAGTATTAATGAGATACTTCTTAACAATAAATTTAATTACCTAAGTAAATAAATTACAATGTTAATTTCATATCTGAAAATAGTTAATAATATTAAGTTTAAAAAAAGGACCAACGCTAAAAGTACATTAGTGAGTAATATATAGGTTGCTATCAAGTGCTTGTCAATTCGACAAATCATAATTAATCGACATATTACAGTTTTAAATATTTAAAAAATAATTCCAGTCGCCAATTGAAAAACCTTTCAAAATTCTAATCGATGAATTCATTTTAGTAATTTTTTAAGAGTGAAACGATTTAAATAAATATTCATTTATAGTAATAAGAAGAAATTTTGTCTAGTATTTATAAAAAATAACCACTCATACAACAGATAAATAAATATAAGTAGAAACACTGACACCAAAATCAAAATTGTTTAAATTTGAAATCACTAACCACTTCTCAAGAATTACATGAGTTTTTTACTCTTAACTTCTAATAGTTTTTCAATTACCTTTTAATAACTAAAAAAAATTGATAGAAGCTTTTCTTACAAAACTAGGTTATTTGTTATTGAATGACTTTATTTAATAATTTAAGAAAAAAATTTGAAGGAATCCAAACAATATTTAGCTCTTAATGGAAAATACGCATAAAAAATTAAAGGATAAATTGGGATTACCTTATTTTTATTAGTGTTTACAAATAGTTTGCATATTTGGACATAACATTTTTAAACAAAGCATAACTGATAACAGACTCGTATTCCATTGCAATCGATAAGACTCATATATTTTGCCTAGTAAATGTTTGATATCTATTATGAAGAATTCTATTGAATAGAAATTATTATTCAGGATTTAACGTTTTAGCAACTATATGTTTACAACTTTATTAGATTATAAAGTCTTTAAATTTATAAAGACAATAGTCAATAATCATAAATATTTCAATTACTTATAATAGTTTATTTATATAGCAAACATTAGCTAACCTACCACCCTTTTTGGAAGTTGAGCAGCTGTTCTAATGTAACTCAGTGTGACGACACCCTTGAATGGAAATGCATGTCATAAGAAATTCATTACAAAATGGATTTATTAAAATTAAATTACGCTTATCATTTAGTTAAATTAAAAAAAAGCATATGGACCTAAGGAATAAAAATTTCATACATTTTTAAAACAGTTTAAATTTGTACAGAATTTTATTCCGTATGGTTACATGTGGGTTCAAATAAAAATATAAGCCAAAAAAATAAACCTCAGGATGGAATTTGACTTTTATTTTTTGTAAATATAACTAATTTTAAAAACAAAAATTTATTTACACCCACGAAATTTGTTTTATACGAAAATATATTGAACTACGTTTAAAACTATGTTATTACAGTGTAAATAATAGTACACGTAAGCCAAACTACTTGTTTTAGTAATAGAATTCTTTTTTACTCGATAAATTCTTCTTTTTTTTCGCCTTAATCCTACTTTTTTACTCGGTGAATTATAAAAGTATTAACAATTAAATTATAAAATGTATAATTAATATTATAAATTATTGAATTTTTCTCGTAGTACAAAAATTAAATCAAACTAATATTATGTTGTATCGTAAGATGATTATGATATTAATCAAATGTTTTTTTCTCAAAACTATTTGTTGTTTGATGAACAAAGAAATAAAACATTCTAAACAAAATGAAATTGACGCTTATAATATAATCCTAAAAATTCGAACAGGTTACATAGAACATGATATTTCACTAAGTTTAGGTAATATTAAATCTATACAAATAAAAAACATTGATGAAATGCGAAATAAGAGAATAATGAGTCTCATGTGTGGATACGCTTATAGCGCTTTGTACCATATGCGTGTTTCCAAAATAGTAATGGAAGTTCAAGACAAAGTTGAAAAAAACACGTTGTATTTAGTAATTATGGATATTTTCAACGAATCTATAAACATGTTGGTCACTTTACATAACTTAAATATTGAGTCCATAGATGAAATGTGGCATTTTTACATGTATATAAACCGTTTGCATCCATACATACAAACACTTTTTGACATGAAAAAAATATCTAAACCAATTATTGAAAACATTATGGAAAGTCATAATTTTATTGAAAAACAATTAGAAGAGTTTATTGTTAAAATTGGTAAATGTAATACAGCCAACAAGTTCAACGACAAATACATAGGATCTCAATTTTACAGAAAATTGGAAGGTCTCGAATCTTGTAGAAAACAAAAAAATTGTCGTTTGAGTGATGTCACGGCATTGGTATACGACAATAAAAAATTGATAAGAGAATTAATAAAAAAAAATCATGAAGACGGATCAGTTCTCATGGATGGCAAGGAACGTTTTGACTTGGAGCAATTATACTTAAACAATCTAGTTTTAAAACGACAAACTGAGCTATGGGATACGTTAGAAATATTTGGTCCAAGAATTAACTGGACTGGACCGCTTTTAAGACTCAAAGAAGCAAACACGAAAGCGCATTGTGTGTACATTTCAGCTGATGGATTCAAAAATATTCAATTTTATCAGATAACATTTTTGGAAATCTTACAAACTATCATGTTGCGATTTGTGTGGAGACATTTGGTGTATGCTAAAGAAAAAACTGTGTTAAAGGAAAGATTGACTAATTTACAAAATTACAAAAAAATCATCATTTCAGAAATTACAGAATTCATCAAATATACGGGTTTAGAAAATGATATATTTTTCAAAGATCTCCTAGAAAAAATTCATTCAATTATTATAACTCCTATAAGATTTAAAATTAAAACAATCATACACATGATAAAAAATCGTCTTGCTACAATATCGAAAAATTATGAAACAGTATTATATGGTGCTATTCAGATAGATGATGAAGAAATGTGTATGAAGTTAGCAGTGGAGAAATCTTTAAGCCAATTAAAAGAACTATCATGTGATTATAATGCAACTGGCATAATATGCGGACGAGTATTTGTAAGTTATTTAAAACATTTATTACCTGACGTTGATTTTAATGTTATTCGATCATTTTTATATTTTTCAAAATTAAAATAAAAAGTTCATATATTTAGTAGTTTATTTTTTTATGTATAATCAGCAAATGAATAACGTCTTTGAATCATTGAGTTACTGTCGATTAAAATAAAATTACAAATTATCAAAAAACAATATTATAAAAGTAACTCGACACGTAGTTAACAACGAAAAATATATAAACTGGGGGAGGACAATCTACCAGTGCATAATTTTTGTAATAGTCGATGACTTAAATAAAATTAACAACCATATTAAACTTAAAACGTTTTCACAATAGAACTAGTGGCGACATTAGTGTTGCATTTATAGTAATCAAAACTTATACGCCAATATTAAGGACGAATACAAACACTGCTGTTTTGGTAACATCAATAGATTTTTAACTCGTCTGTATATCAGTCTTTTCGTATCACTTTTATTTTACTTCAATGTTTATCATGGCGTGACAATAGTTGTTATTCTATTATAACAGATGTGTTTATCTTTATATCGCGTTGAACAGATATTGTAATTACCATACATTATTTCAATTAAATGCCAATAAACTAATTTGTCCCTCTGTTTATTACCAAATATTTTTCTAGTACATTGTCTTGTAAGTGAGTAATGCGTTTAAGAAAATTTAGGTGATAACAGTTGAACAACCAAATCCACATCAAAAGAAATGTACTAATCTTCAATTTGGTAATAATTAACATAGATATATATATTAATTTATGTCCATGGTAAATAATAATATTGATAATAAATATATAATGTTTTTAACATTTTATAATTAGAATTCTAAATAATCATATTTAAATAATAAAAGTTAATAAAAATATAAAATTAATAAATAATAAAACACAATAATAATTAAAATGAGCAATGCACTTCAATTACAGATTTAAAAAATATATATTGGTACTAATTCGGTATAATACCGTTTTTTATAAATCAGTCTTTTGAAGTAATTAGAGTGACTGGTATTCTATTCTTTTTCGTTAAAATTGATATGATTCATTAAAATTGCATAATAACAAATATTAAAAATGATTTAACTATATATATTATCTACTTGTGAAATTATTCATTCACTTATATGTTAACAGTAAAGATGATTTTATTTATTAGTTAACCTAATAAAATGAAAAAGAAAATATCATTATGTTACTAATGAATTATTTTTTTTCAAAGAATAATAAAATTATACAAATATGCATTGTACAAACAAGAAAAAATTGATTGTCTAGAAGAAATATGTTGACTCAACACAACCAATTTTTAATATGTCTGTGTTTTTGTTAGTAGACATGGTGAACACTTTGGATACACTATAATTTATTGATACTAATTTAACTTTATAGAATTATGTTATTACTACCATTAAATAGATGAAGATAAATTATCATGCGAACTATCAAGTGCGTGTAGATTATAGTCATTGTTTTCTTAAATTTTTTATTTTCCGCAATATTCTTAATTTTTTCTTTCATAAGAACCTTCTTCTAATAATAACAAACGCAAAAAAAAAAATAATTAGCAAAATCTGTCCATCTTTTCACGCATGATGCCATGACCAAGGGAAATAGAGATTCATATATTTATAACATTTATAAGTTATTGGATTTTTTTTTTATGTCTATCCATTACACTGGCGTAATCATGGAGGGGGTACTGCCGTGCTAAGCGAAAACAGGATAACTCCAGTCAACATGATTTTTCAGGAACACAAAAAAACATTTTTAACAGTAAATCAAGATACCCTTTTTTCCCAATGTATGAACATAAGTCAAAAGACGGTAACTCCATTATTATTTATGTGATATACCAAGTTTTTGCTTAGTATTTGGATTTACTGTGTTTTCGCTTACAAAACATCAAATATATTGAACTTTCCGTATATTTTCTTATTTTATATTTCAATTTTAGATTGGTTTTAATAGGAAATATGCTATTTTTACATCAAAAATCGGTGTAAAACCACTAAATTTACCTATAGAAACAAAAAAAAATTTTTTTTTAATTTTGGAGTTATCCTGTTTTTGTTTAGCACGGCAGTGTATGGGTGTGACAAAAATAATTATATGGTGGAGATACATTTTTTTTTGTTTAAAAAATTACCCTAATTATGCCATTGATCGCTTCTTACATATAAAAATACCGAATACATTTTTTTAATTACAACGTAAATATGTTAACAAATAAAATACTAAACTGAAATAAATACTACTTGAATAAGCCAACATTTTCAAAGCTAATTATCTTAAAAGATATCTAGTGATCTACTTGTTTTTGAATCAATTAATCAGCATGTGTTGAGAGTCTGAAATATTTAATAGGTAAGTCAATACAGGATATTAGTGATTAATCGGATATCGATATGAAGCTTGAATTAATAAATTTGGTAATCAATGATCCAAACATTCTAGCTTGGACAAAACCCTTCAAATTTAATTTAATAATGTGATATATAGTTCATATAGTAGAGGGGTCAGCTTATCGTTGCTGTACTGGTGATCGACCGTTGTGTCATCCGTATGGATGGTAATGCGAGTTAGTTGACCTTCTATCGTCTCCGTGCGAATTACCTGCGTTAGTCATGTGTTGTTAATTTGTTATACACGTAATATACATTTATATTTTATATTTAAAGTTGGCGTTATTAATTTTATTAATAAGTATCTACTAGACTTATAAAAATTATTACAGTTCAGGTGTGGGGTAAACGCGTGGATAACGAGTGGAGGGTTAGTTCGAATGTGGTTAAGTATACGTTAAAATTATTACATTTTTTTTATTGTGTTATTGTGCATGGTAACGCGAAAATTTTTTGAAAAAAAATTAAGTGCGCGTGTTTGAAAAATTATAATTTTGTCTGTAAAGAAAATTATTCGTGTATTCTACGGTACGTCATAATTTTAACTTGGGCTAGTCCAGAGCCGAAAATAGCCAAGTAGTTGGTGTAGTAGATTGTCAAAGGTCGCATTAGTGTAAAAAAAAATATCGGTTTGCTGCCCATTGTGTTGTGTGCAAGTATGGCATTGAACAACAAGGAAGAAGTGGGGCTGAGCAATGGTGCCATGAGTGGTGGTGTAAGCGCAATGGGACGTGACAATCATATGCGTTTGTGGGCTGACTTATCAGTTGCTTTGCCGGTGTATGATCCAGTAGATAGTACAATGGCAATCGATCAGTGGATCAGTAAAATGGAAGAGTACGCAATATTGTATGAATGGGATGATGTTGCCATTCAACACTTTGCGTTGTCAAGACTGACAGGCGTTGCAAAAATTTGGCGTGATAGTCTACCATCTATCTCGCGTACTTGGTTTAGTTGGACTAAACTTTTAAGGGAAAATTTTATATCATCGTCTGTGGAAGATGTTATGCAGTGTAGACTGGACGCTCAAAGTTACAATCGTAAACCAGGACAAAATATAATCGAATATTTTTATGAAAAATTGTCCAGATGTAACAAAGCAAAAATGTAAGACAGTGAGACTATATAGTGGATAGTAGTTGGTGTGCAAAATGATCGTTATAGTGACTACCTGGGACCACTAACAAATTATAGTCGTCCGTTTGAACTATTACAACATTTATAGTCTGCATCACAATACATATCAAATGAAAAATCAAAGTCATGTTTATTTAACGGCTATGCGAACAAATCTAAAGTTTTGGCGAAAGTAGAAGTAACGTGTTTTAGATGTCGAGCTGTTGGTCATACTTCAAAAACTTATCCCCAAAAACCGACTTTAACTTGTTTTAAATGTTCAACTCCTGGTCACAAGGCACGAGACTGTCATGTGAGGAGAAATTCAAGTACAACTGCAACAAAGTCAAGTACTTCACAAATAACTATGACAAATCAAAATAATAATAGATCAGTACTTCAAGTTGGACATGTAGGTGCACAGTCCAAGTACTTTAAAGATGCTGTCATAAGCGGTGCTACAGTTAGGGCATACATCGACATGGGAGCAGCGTGTGTTGCTATGCGTTTGAGTGATGTCAATAATCTGTTAATTGATTATGATGCTCAAGTAACAGATGAATTTGTTGGTTATGGATTTGGTAAAGTTCATTCGTTAGGTCGTTTTGAGACAAACATATCTATTGATGGAGTAGTAGCAAGAGTGCCCGTTAATGTAGTGCCTGACGAAATACAAGATATACCGTTGTTAGTGGGACACCCATTTACTGAACAACCACATATCATGATCACTAGTACTGCTGGAGAACTGACAGTAGAGCAAGTCATACCAAATATAGCTGTTATCACAAACAACAAAGTGCCACTATGGGCGACTACGGCCGTCGTAATACCAAAAAATCATGTTGGACACATATCGGTTAGTACAAATTTACCGAAAACTGAATTATGTATAGAAGGAGGACTACGTAGTTCAAAACAATTGGTCCCTCGATGTTTAGTCTCGACTGACGATAAAGGACTAACACAAGTGCCTGTTTTGAACTTGTCAAATGAACAATTCGTTGTCAAAAAAGGTGACACAGTTACCCGCGGTGTAACTTTCACTGAGTTGTGTAATAACAACGAAATGTGTACTCGTGAAGTAAATAATGAATTAATTACGGCAGACGAAGTTATCACAGACTTAGACACTGATCAATTACAAGACGTACTGGCAATGATAAACGAATACCGTGATCTCGTGGCGAAAAATATACGACAAGTTGGGTGTACACATTTAGCGGAAATGAAACTTAATATGAATGACGATCAGCCAGTGGTATATCGACCATATCGACTATCTTTTCACGAACGAATACAAGTACGTAATTTAGTCAATGAACTCAAGGATGCTGATATTGTGGAAGACAGCAATTCACCATACTCCAGTCCAGTATTGTTGGTCAAGAAGAAAACGGGAGATGTTCGATTATGTGTGGATTACCGAAAATTAAACTCGAAGACCATACAAGATAAATATCCTTTGCCAAGAATCGACGATCAGATTGACAGACTTCATGGTAACATATATTTTACTAGTTTAGATCTTACTAGTTTAGATACTAGTTTAGTGGTTACTATCAAATTCCTATTAATGATAGTGTAACATGGTCACGAACGGCTTTTATTACCCCTGATGGGTTATATCAATTTAAACGCATGCCCTTTGGTGTGTCAAACGGCCCAGCAAATTTTGCCAAAATGATAGCAACTGCTCTAGGATCTCTTTTATTTACTGTANTACCTAAGGCGCCGGCCTAAACCAGCGCCTTAGGTCCTCCTGTACCGGGCGGCGCGGCTGCCTCTGTCTCAGGCGTTCAGCTTCCTCCTTCTTTTTCAAGATGGATTCGGCGAACACCTGGACGAGCCTCCACGCCTCCCGGCTCCTCAACATCAGGTCCACCATGGACCCGACTCGGAACGTGGACCCTAGTTGAGACTCCAAAGAGTCCCGTTCCTGGGCCCACGCCTCGCACCGGAAGAGGGTGTGCAAAGCGCTATCAGCCTCTCCCGGGCGATCCGAACAGTGGTCGCACGTCGGCGCGGCTGCTTTACGAATACGGTGTAAGTACTCGTTAAAGCAGCCGTGGCCGGACATCACTTGGGTGAGACGATAAGTCATCTCACCGTGAGTCCGGTCCACCCACCTGTCCAGCCGATCGGGTCCTATGAGGGACCTGGTCCACTCGCCTCTCGTTTCCTCCGAGAGGCGAGTCCGCCACCGGAACATGGTCATCCGCCTGAGCGCTAGCCGGTCCTCGGGTTCGAGGGACCGGTTTCGCTCTCGGCGGAGCTCATGCCCGGCGGCGCGTTCCTCGGCGAGCAGGTCGGCGGGCGGCAGTGACGACAGGATACCCGCCGCCACTCCGGACACCGTTCGGTACGCCGAAACAGTCCGGATCGCCGCCCGCCTCTGCACCCTGAGCAGGGCTTCACGGTTTTTGGACGAATACTCAAGAGTATCCGCCCAAACCGGGGACCCGTACAGGAGGACCGACTGTACGACGCTGACTAAATGTCTGCGCCGCATCTCTCTCGGCCCTCCCAGATTGGGCATGATTCCCGCCAGGCAATTCATGACTTTCTGGGCCCGTTGGGCCGCACGAGTAATGTGCGGCCCGAACTTTAGACGTTTGTCTATGACGAGGCCCAGATAAGTCATGGAGTCCTTAAGCGGGATCTCCACCCCCAGCACGGCGAGCCGTGGAGGAGTGAACTTGTACCTGCCCGTGAACAAGACCGCTTCGGTCTTGTCCAGGGCGAGGCTGAGTCCACTCCCCTCCTGCTGGATCCAGGCGGACACTGCTCTGAGCGCGCAGTTTGCCCGGGATCCAGCCTCCTCGGACGAGGCGCCTTCCGCCACCACCAGCGTGTCGTCCGCGTAGCAGACGACACGCACGTGCGGTGGTAGCGGAACGCGGAACACCGCGTCGTACGCGATGTTCCACAGCAAAGGCCCGAGAACTGACCCTTGCGGGACGCCTCCCGTAACAGGTCGGATTCTCGGGCCCGCGGCGCTCTCGTAAGAGATGACCCGATCGCTAAAGTACGACCGGATCATCCGCCCGAGGTAAGGAGGCACCCGAAACGCGTCCAGCGCTCCGAGGATGTGTGACCATCGCACGGAGTTGAACGCGTTTCGGATGTCCAGGCTCACCGCCAACCCGAAGCCCTGCTCAGTTTTGGCCCTGAGGGCCAAGTCCCTGAAGAGGGAGGCCGCATCGTCCGTCGACCTCCCCCTCCTGAAACCATACTGGCCCTCGGCCAGTCCGCCGACGTCGGCCAGGTGGGCTTCGATCCGGGTGACGAGCAGCCGCTCGAGGATTTTCCCCAAGTCGTCCAACATGCAAAGCGGTCGGTACGACGAGGGGAGACCCTCGGGCTTGTCACCCTTTCTCAGAAGCACCAGCCTGGCCTTCTTCCACTTCGTGGGGAATTCACCCTCCGAGAGGCAGCGGTTCGCGACGGCGCGTATCCAGTCCGGGGCGAGGTCGTTTACCAACCCCCACACCCGGTTTGGAATCGCGTCAGGGCCGGGAGCTGTGTTCCGGCCCCGTACGCGCGCCACCGCGTCGGCCACCTCCTGGGTGGTGAATTCCTCCACCGACACGTCGTCCCCGAACGCAGGGGGAGGCAGAGGCGGGTGTGTCGGAAAGAGCGTGTCTACCGCCCTTTCCAGCACTTCCGCCTCCAGCTGACCGGAAGCCGGTGAACCGCGGAGCTTCCGCATAACGACCCGGTAGGGTTTCCCCCACGGGTCGTGGTCCACCGACTTCACGAGTTCGGCCCAGCACTTCGCTTTGGCCCGCCTGATGGCGAGCTTCAGCTCTTTGCGGGCCGACCTCAGCGCCTCCCTCGGGTCCGGGGATTCCGGGTCCCGCGGCCAACGGTTGGAGCGCGTCATAGTCCTCCTGACCCTGACACACTCCTCACGCCTGACCGCCACCTCGGCGTTCCACCAGTGGACTGGCGGTCCGCGAGTCGACGGCGGTCGTTTGGCCGGGAGGGCGAAGTCGCAAGCTGCGACCACCCTCCGGTCCAACTCTTCCGCCGCTTCGCTCGCGGAGACGCGCCGGTCCGGTACCGCGGGCGCCGACCAATAAGTATCTTATACTAGACTTATAAAAATTATTACATTAATTACATGTTTAATACGAAAGATTGGATTTGCTCTTCTTAAAAATAATTTTAATTTCTTAATAAAGGTATACATTTTTGATGGATAATTTTAAGAACAAATTTATTTAAATTGTAAATATCATCATTTTTTAAAATTTTGTTATTTAAATATTATGTTACAAATTTAAACTTAACCTCTCCAAGAAAATATTATTATGTTGCAACCTTAAACCAAATATTTTTTTGATATGCACAAATAAATTAAAATTCTTTATTCTAGAAACACGTAACAAAGCTTGTTAAAAAAAAATTGTTATTATTCATTTATTACAATTTCATATACGTAAATATACACTTCTGAAAATAATTTATTTATGATAAATGAATAACCTAATATTAACTTTGAACTTTTATGGCAAATGTTATTTAAAATTAAAACTAAAAAATATTAAAAAAATTGAACTCAAAAAGTCATAAAAACTACTGACACAATCTTAGATAAGTATTTAATAGTATATGATTAGTATTGATAATGGTAATATTGTTTCTAATATACGTATCCGCGATTTTTCAGTAATTTTTGTGTCTTTTTGAGTAAAATATTTTATATACATTTTAGTTTTAAATTAATACTTTTAATATAATTTTAATTTTAAATTTATATATATTTAGCATGTTTTTTTATGATTTCTTTAAATCGACTACAGTAGTATATGAATAGGGATAAATGAAGTTATTAGTGAAAAATGTGTTTTAATATTTTTAATAATTTTTATTCCAAATTTATTTGTATATGTGCAATTACAGATGCTAGTATTTATATATATATATTTAACTAGATACTATAATTTTTTGTTACCTACACAATTATATTTTTATGTTGCGTAAATATTAACTAAATATAATATATGAAATGAAAAAAGATTTGCCCTTGGGAAAAAAGCCAGCATTTAGAGAATAAAATGATTACACTATGATTTATAACTCGTAGCATGATCCTATAAAACTTTATTAATAATTTTTATACAATGAATAGTTAAATGTGCTATACTATAGCGTAATATACCCAATCGTCATTTGATCCAATTTCAGCGTGTTCCACGTGGTTTATCAACTTGGTCCAATGTTAAAAATTTACGGCTGATAATTTGATAACAATGATAAGACAACGGCAAAGCAATATTGCTTTACGTCACGCTATTGAAATCGCTTCCTAGTTTCATAAAGAATAAAGTGTATTACCACATTCAGATAAAATTCAATCGTCACTTTGTCGCGCGATTCGTTGTTATCTTGACGTAACAAAACTAATTTATGTTTTAATTATAACATTTATTATTTCAATTCAAATATGATCTGATAGAAGTATCGCGATCAATAGAGGAAACTGCCCCTCCTCTGTTAAAGGTACCGAATTATCGTTTGACTGACTGCATTGTATGCTTTATTTTAAGTATTATAGCTTTTAGAATTTTATCATACTAAAGGATGCGTCATAAGTCTAAGGGATCAGTTACCAACAATTCTGTTGGAGAATCTATTACCTTAGATTCTAAACCTAGCTCTAAACAAAAGAAAAACTCTAAAGTAAGTAATTATAGTATCTTAAAAATCGCTTAATGATTACTATTGTTTAATTTTTACTAAAATTATGTGCACTGTTCTACTTTTTTAGTAAATTAGTCTTACTAAATATCTACTTAATAGATTATTCATTAAATTGATAATTTAAAACTTGGTTTTTTAAAAGAAACGTGTTACAAAATTAAAATACATATTTCTGTTACAATTAAAAAAGTAGTTGTGATATCATGCATCAAATTTTAAAACAAAATAATGGATTTTTAATTTATATAAAAGTGATGTAAATTAATAGTATATGAATTGTTTATACAAAAAAAAAACCTGATATATTTTCAATCTGAATTTTCAAGGTATTTCAAAATGGCAATTCAAAATTAAAACAACTTAAGAAGTCTGTAACTATGGACCCTCATTCAATTGTGATATGGAAACATCCTATTTTAACTATTGATTGTTTCTGTAAAGAAGTAGTTTTTTTAACCAAGTCATTTATTAAAAAGTAAGTTAAATTTTGCCAATTTAATTCTTAATATATTGAAAATATCAAATTTAAAATAAAACTGAAAATTATAGTTATTAATATTCCACTATTTAGTTAAAATTTAATGTGGAGAAATATTAATATTAATTTTTAATTTTCTTTAAAATCTTATTCATAATTTATCAGGGCTGGTTAATAAAATGAAATATAATAGTTCCTTAATAATGCATATAGCTATAAACATTACTGTAAGCTTAAATTTCAATACATACTCAGGGCCGTATTTAAAATTTTAGTTCAAGATGGTGCTATGGCGTAACATGAATTTTACATCAATAATTTTTTTCATCAATTTTATTGTATAAAACATTCATACTTCATTTAATCACTTAAACCTTTGAAAAGACAATTATCAAATTTTAATTAATTTAAAATTATTAACTATTATTAACCTTAAAGTAAATTTAATAAAACCTTTGTGATTATTAATAATAATAGTAACCAATATTAGTAGTACCAATAATATTGGTACTACTAATATTTTTTTATAAAAAACCACCATTATAATAAGAAATAAACAATTTAGTATTAAAATCAACCTATAAGGTTTCCTATAAAGACAAACATTAAAAATTAAGTATTTTTTTGGTTTGTTGCTTATGAGTCTTAAGGATATAAACTATTTTTTTTTAAATAAAATATATATATATAATTAACTTATAAAATAGAAAATAATGTAATTAAGAAAATAATTTATTGATAACAGCTTTTGGACCAGTATTTTAGAAGTTATTAACAATTTAAAGTAATGACTAAGCACAGGTGCATTTATATTTGTTACTAGACATTTATCAACCTTCTCTTTCCACCTTAAAATAAATATTCTAATACCTAACAAAGTAACTGGTCAAATTTGTTATCGACCAATAATTTATTTAATTAGATCATTTTCTATTTTATAATCTAGTTAAAATATGTCTCTTGCAGTTTAAAAATATAATTTGAAAAATATAACCCATTAATAAAAATTATTATTTTAAGAAAATAAAGGGGTTAGTGTTAAAAGAATCGCTCTGTATACACATTGGATGAAAATTAAAATCTGCAAAAATCCTCTCTAAAAATAGTTATAATTAACACTTAAATCTCATTTTTGAAAAAAATTAATTAAATTTTTTCAAAGAGAAGTGTAAATGGGAATACTTTACTCCTACACTATAATAATATATTGTTTAATCTAAAGTATAGACATGAATAATTGGAAAAAAATAATGAACAAAAAATTGTAATAACAAGAAAACAGTGATTTTTACACATAAATAACATATTTTATTAAATGTTAGAGTTTAGTTTAAAATGGGTCATTAACACATAAAAGACAAATCATCAATAGTTTAGTCATAAAATTAAAAGAATAACGTTTCAATTAGATAAAATTTGTGGTCTTTTGATAAATTTTGATAAAATCAGAATTGTAAAGACTAAAAAAAAGAAATAACAGATACAAATAATAATAATTCATTAACACATAGTAAAATAATTACCTTCTCAGCTTTGCATAAAAGTTTAAAGTTAAAAAGTTATAAGAAATTTCAAACTGTATAGTAAAATATAATATATAAAATATATTTAAATATGCTAAAATCTTATTAATTTCAAGTTAGTTTCTAAGTTATTATTTAAATAGTTTTTAAGTAAAATGTGTAGTATTATTTAACTCTTATTCTAAACATTTTTTTCTCAATTTTCAGATTAATTTGTTATAAGTTGTATGTGCTATTAGCATTTTTAGTTATTTCTTCTCCAATTGTTTTATCATACATTGAGGGACCTCATGTTCCAGTAAGTAATTGATAGGTTCTTCATCAAAATGGTAGTCAATATGATTCAATAAAATTTTGTTTTTCAGGTGTTACTATGGGCCAAATCAAGAGTTTCATGGTGTTTATATTGGTTAGGCCTTGGTGTCTTATCATCTGTCGGCTTTGGTACCGGCTTACATACATTCCTACTATATTTAGGTCCTCATATAACATCCGTTACATTAGCAGCGTATGAATGTGGAGGTCTTAATTTTCCAGAGCCACCTTATCCTGATCAGTCAGTAAAATGACTTTTTGTTTAATTTTATAATATCTAATGGTTCATAATATCTAATTTTAGAATTATTTGTCCGGATGAACTTGACCCTACTTGGACAGCGAGTTTATGGAATATTATGTCCAAGGTAAGTTTAGAAGCCATGATGTGGGGAGCTGGAACTGCACTTGGAGAATTACCACCTTATTTCATGGCAAGAGCAGCACGACTCTCTGGAAGGCCTCCTGATGAAGATAAAGAAGATTTAATTGAATTTGAAGAATTATTAAAAAAAGAAGAGCACCCGGAAACTATGGTATTTTCCAGATATATTATTATATATTATATATTATATATTTTATCTTTTTTCAGACATTAGTTGATAAATCAAAAATATTTGTTGAAAAACTGGTGAAAAAAGTTGGATTCTTTGGTATTTTAGCATGTGCTTCTGTAAGTTTTGATTTATAATTCAATTATAATATTTCATGTTTGACTTTTATTGTTTAAATAAAATTTATAAAAAGAATTATTTTTATTTTTTTATAGATACCAAATCCTTTATTTGACCTTGCTGGAATAACATGTGGTCACTTTTTAATACCTTTTTGGACATTTTTTGGTGCTACGCTATTAGGTAAAGCTGCTATTAAAATGAGTATACAAGTATTATTTGTAGTAATTGCTTTCAATGAAACTCTAATTGAAAGTGTTCTTGAGATGGTTGGAAAAATTCCAGGATTTGGTAAAAAATTACAAGCTCCTATTACTAAATTTTTAGAGAATCAAAAGCAAAGATTACATCTTAAAAAAGATTCCAAGGTAACTATTAGTAAATTATATTTTTTTTGTAAAAACTTATATTGAACTGATTTTTCAGGGTACAAATATCGTTGTGAAGTTATTTGACCTATTTGTGTTTTCAATGGTCATGTATTTTATAGTGTCTTTAGTCAATTCATTAGCACAAAATTATTATAAGCGAAATAATAAGACTTCAAAAAAAGTGTCTAAAGACTGACATTTAATTATTCAACAACTCAATATCGTAAAATTAAGCGACTTTAAGATCGTTATTATGATTTAATAAACATCTCCATTTTCCTTAATTAATTGTTTATTTGTTATATTTTTGCTCTTCTGATACTTGAAATAAATTCTTTATTTATATTTTAAATTTATATTTATAAAAGTTATTACAAAGTACAGGGTTTTAATTTTTTAAACTTTCTTTGAATTTCCAAAAGAAGAAACTTTGATAAATTTACTTTACTGCTCAATATAATTCCAAAAAAATTTATTTAGTAGGTTTAATATATTTCAAATTAAATTGTTTACATTTGTTACAGTAATTTAAAACATTTAGTTTGAATCTATTACCAAATTAATAATTAAATAATCTATATTACCAAAATTATTTACAAATTATTTTAGTTACTTTGTGTTTCAAGAATTCTCACAATTTTTTTTATTAAAATGCTAGGAACTTATTCATCATGACTCCAAGTGTTACCAAATTTTGTTTTTTTTTAGTTGTAAAATTGTCAATTTATTATTAGTGTTCTAGATTATAGATTATTAAGCAACTCACCAGAATAATTTTTTTAAACTGTTTTCTTGAGTTTAATATATCATTTCATTATCTATCTGTACACTTGAACCACTGTAGTTTTAAGTTTAGCCTAAATTATTTAGTTAATTTTCTCTTATTTTTAATAATTAAACATTTTTTTTGCCCAATTATTATTGTTATTTGTTTATTGTTTTATTTAATTTTAATATTTCTTATATACTGCAATAATATGACTACAATAGACAATGTTATTTTCTCTGATATTATATTATGTGATTTAGGAAGTAATATTTGGTAGTATTATTAATTAGTATAGTAGTAGAAGACTGCTGTTCCTCTTCTGAAAACTTGTTCATTCCCGGAAATAAAAATATTTTCTTTAATTTTTTTGTGTACTATCTTAAATAATTAATAAAGACAACATAATTGAATTCCAAACTTAAATAATCCTATGCAATATGAGCAGCTTAAAAGTGTGTCATAAAATAATTTACTTTAATTTTGAGATTGTTGTTAATTTCTGTTTCTTCAATTACTCTAAATGTTATTTATAAGAATACAAGTGAAATGAATTTCTATATTGATTATTTAAATAATAATACTTATTTATAAAACTTTCTTATTGCTTATTAAACAAGTTTATATTGACGGTGATTATTTTGTAATTAATTTTGTAAACATCTTCCTAGTAAACTTGATTGTGTAATAAAATATAAATATGATATAAATAAAATAACAATATGTGTATTTATATTAATTAGTTACCAAATTAATAAAACTAATTATTCTTAAAAGAAAGATAAACTTTATATTAATGTAATGTTAAGCTCTCTTAGAATATGATGTATATTGTAACATATAGAGTGTTTAGAAAGTAAGGAAAAAAGTCAGTTGTTACAAACAATTAGAACAATAGAAAAACTTTTCCTTAGTTACTGAATATCCTATATAATTATATTTTTAAGGGAAATACAATAAGTATCCTCAAATACAAAATAACATATTTGAGGTTGTGTCTCAGCACCAAGGGTGATCACTTATATAGAGAGTAAAAATGATAAATTTTGATTAGGAAAATTATTTTTGTTGCTCTTCATTTTTTTATTTATGTCATATTAAGTAGTTTTTATTTCATTAGATATTTAATTATTTAACAAAATTCTTTAACTAATGTTATAAATTTTTACTCTATTGTTTAGTTCTATTGAGGTAATACTTTATTCTACTTAGAAAAAAAATGAGATAAATAAGAAAAACAATTTTTTTTGGTTGATACACTAATACTACATTAACAATATCAAAGTATAATAACTTTGCTACAGCTTATTTACAAATAAATAACTATACAAACTATTATAAGCAATAAAAATTTCATTACTCGTCTTGTATATTATCTTACACAGTAAAAGATACAAAAAAATGCACAAACTTAAGTAAAAAATAAAATTATTTGAAGAGTAAAATTTTCTGAACAACTAAAAAATGTTTGTGTCACTCACTTAAAAAAGTTTTTGATTATCACCTGATATAAAACTTACAACCTAATATGTGATAGGAAATGAGGAAAAAGTGTTAGTAATTGATTACATTTTTAAATAAAAAGAATTAAATTTTTGCTCACTAACACCTTATCCCATGGTACATATTAAAATGAAAGTTTGTATTATTATTTTAACTATGGAAAAAAAAAAGTTAAAATTTGGAATGTTTGAACTTTATTACATTAATACTTATTTACAACATAAATTCTGACTTAAAATAAAATAACAGTTATAATTCAAACAATTGCCCACATTATTGTTATATTAATCATAATATACAATCTTAAGACATTACAATATATCTATATAGTAACCAGTAATAATAAATATCAAACACTATACCTTTGATTAATTATTTTAATGTAAAAATTAAAAAAAACTTTTATTTCATATTTCTTCTAAAATGTTTACGGATAATAAATTTTCAAAGAAAAATAATTGAAGATCAAAAATAATAATTTAATTAATACTAATTAAATTGTAAAAATAGTTTGATATTAACTAATTTTAAATGTAACATTATATTCTTAACTATTAAATCTTTTAAAACTTAACTTTTAAAACTTTTAAATCAATTATTAAGAAAAATGCTTGATATATTTATGACAGTAATTTAATAATAAAAAAATTATAATAAATTATAATAAATTATTGACAAAATAAAAAAAACTTTATTCATTACTGTCAAAGTCAGTACCATTTTGTTGAAAAGAAGCAAGTAGTTTTTCTATACGTGAGTATATGTCAACATTTTTACGTTCCAAATGGTCTAAAACCAAATTGAGATTATCAATTTCTTCATGTAGCCTGCCCATGACTATAATAAAATTAAAATTTATTTTAAATTTGAGTTGGTTATTTTTTTTAAATATTGTGAACAAAAAATTAAAACCCACCTTCTGCATTTTCTTCAATGAGTTCATTTTCTTCCTCTGTTGAATCCATCAACGGCTCAGTAGTATCTGTTGTTTCTCTCATATCTTCCGAATTGGACTCATCTGCCATACCTTCTGAACTTTCAGATTAATAAAATTAGTACTATAAAAAAAATTGATTTAATATTCAATGGTGTAATGAGTAAAATTATTTTCAAATTATAATGAAGATATGAAAATTACATACGCCCAATGATAAAACGTTATCAATGATAAGAGCTAATAAAATTATAATAAATTATTTGGAATTAATGAAACAGTTAAACAGAAAAAGTTACAAAAAGTTCTTCTTAACAAAACATGCCTAATTTGGTACATATTTGTATGTTTTTTACTTTATAATTATTATTTTAAAAATTATATTTAAATAAAAATAACTTTGTTGTTCAAGGTTATTTTTTATATGCTGATACAAAGAAGTTTGAACTTTTTGGGAGCTCACTCAGTGGGTCTTCACATACATAAATGTTCGTTAGTGTATTTATAATACTAATAATAACATAAGTTATGGCTGTAACAACTGTTACTTTTAGCTTCGATGAGAAGCTGAGAAAATATTAAGTTTACTATAATGTGTTTTTTTTTGTCTGTGGCCATTTTTCTTAGCCTTTATCAGACCGATTTCTTTCAAGAATACGTTGAACCATAACAAATCATATCTAGTCGAAAAATTGGCATTTTAAATTGAAAAAAAATCCTTCGTTCCCTCTGTAAATTAAATAAATCATCAAAAAATTACGATTTTTAACATTGGTAAATGTCGACATTTTTTCGTAAAACTCATAACTTCTTTAAAAATAAAGAATCAAAATATTTTTTTCATATAAATTCATTAAGTATTTCCTTTTTTTATTGTACAAACTACTAAATTTATTTGTTACATACAAAGTGAACTTTTTCAACTTAAGTTTTAAAAATTTTTTCAGAAATACTTTAATTGTATGTTAAAATAAAACTTAAAATTAAAAAAAAATTTGTCCCGACAACTTATCTTTTATGTGCAAATGGCTGCTGTTGTAAAAAACATACTATTTTTGAGTTAAAATTTTCGACATTTGACTTTATATTTTCAACTTTAAATTTTTATATCTTTTTAAAAAGTTTATGGATCAATACAATTTTTTTTATAATTGCTTCCTGTATACCTGTATTCTCCGTAAAAATTACAACACTAGATATTTAATGTTTTATTATATTTAATTTCTATATTAAATATCTATTCATATATTACACCTATAAATCATAAAATTTGTAATTTAAAAATTTTCTGACATTCAAGCAATAAGTTCTATAATAATTTGAACAAATGCTTCTACTATTAATTTTTTAGGTATTAATATTTGTATTCCGACTATTTTTTTTAGGAAATTTTCTTAAAATAAATCTTTCATTTAACGAGTATACAAATAAATTTATTTAAATCAGTTATTTTCATATTTTTCAGATTACATGTAGAGTATGTTCAGTTTGGTGCATTTTTGTAGTATCTCTTTATAATATCTAACATGGCCAATTTAAATATATCTAATTACATACTTTGATGTAATTAAAAAAAAAAAAAAAATACAAAATACCCAAACTATTCGATTAATCGAATATTTTTAAATCTATTCGTTACAAAAGGATAGTAATTGTAGGACAAAGATTTTTCTAAAATATTCAAATGTTTCGTTCCACGATTTAGAGGTATGTCGCCGAAGTATAATTGCCCAACAAAACATTTTCCTTATATTATACTCCTCCGGCCGAATGATTTTCTTTTAATAATTTCTCTACTGCGGACGCGTACTTGTGCGTTTTTATAGAGTTCAAATCGCAATTATTTTGTTTTAGCAAAATTCCTGCCTTGCCACGTGTCCATAATATGGCGATATAATGGTTGCATCTGTTGACTATGTTGCACTTTTCAACATTATCTACAAACACTTTTAATTGTTTTTCAACAAATTAGTGATCTTCTATAACTTTTTAATGGTTTGATTTGTGACTTCGGTGTATTTGATACATAATTGTAAGATCGCATGCAATTTGTTTTTGTACATAAATGGTTATATACCAAATTTCGTCCACTTCGCCAATGTCTAAGTTATGTAAAGTTACTAGTGATGGGAAAAAATAACAGTAACAGTCATTTTTAACAGTTACTGCTTAGCAATAACAATCTGTTACTTGGAAGAAATTGTAACAGTTAATGTTATTATGTGTTTTACACAAGGAGTATTAATTTGTTCGTAAATTCTCCAATTTTCCACTGAGCCCCCCAATGTTTATTATAACAGCAGGTTATTTTCCAATGAAACCAATACTCACAATAACTCACATCAAACGTCTTGAGTAGAATACAGATGGGACGAAATAACAGCACAACGTATTTGATGCATTATTCAGTAATGACTAAATAATATATAATTATACAAAAAAACACTGAAACACTAAAATACTACAGCCCAATTGGGTGGGATTGGGTTTACACATTTTAAAGGTGATAAGCTAAACAAGACAGCCGGACACGATAGTGCAACCGTCACAAATGACGTGAACTATTATAACTTCAGTACTCTCATGTATTATTTTATTATATCAGTGTATATATATCTTAAGTACTTTAATGGCATAATTAATTTTTCATTTTTTTTAAATTTAATTTGTGATAAATTAATACAAATTTTATAATTACTCAACTGTATTTAATACATAATTATCAATTAAGAATAAATATTGTGAATTTTTAATTTTTGTAAAATAAATAATATTATTATTGTAATGTTTATTTAATTAAATAATCTTTTCTTTTACGAAAAGACCCCAAAAGTTTAAATTATATATAAAAATATTATTTTAAAAAAATTTAAAAAAAATGTATATTCAAGGGTTGGTCTCTTTTAAATGTAAGGATAAAGATAACAAAATATGTGTTTCCATTTAAAAAAACCCAGCACAGGGGGGTCGCGGCACAGTTGTGACGTGGTATAGTTGGATCAAGTATAATGATATCTGACAGTGATTAAAATCACTATCAAAAATAAACGCTTCGATGCAAATCTTTAGATAGTGTTTAATTTTAAAAAAATTGGTGTTTTATTCCAAAAGCTACTTGATCTGCTGGTTCCTTA